ACCTGATACAATGTAAATGCTGTTATGTCAACTCTTATAATACTGTTTTGTTTAGGGACTAATGACAACTTTTAAAGTCTGTCCCTGTTCAGACACGTACAGACATGATTTTTTTCCAAATATGTTTGATCTATGGTTGGTTGAATCTGCAGATGTGAAACTGGTGGATAACGAAAGCCAACTGTACTATGGTCTCCCCTTTACAACTGCTGAAAACACACAGGGAGGGATGAAGATGTTTGCCCAAGGTTACACCCAGCTGGTAAGTGGCAGCAGTGGGAATGGTCCTCAAGCAATTTGATTCCAGGGTCCATGATCTTGCCTAGGGTCCCTTCCCCATTCCCTAGGGCCCGGTGCACAGCTGAGACCCCAGGCAGGCCTCTGAAGCACCTGCTGCCCAAAGAGTGAGAAAGCCAGCCCCAAGGTCACCTCCCTGGCAAAGGTCTCTCAGCAGCTTTGCAGCACAGCTACATCCGAACCCAGGCCCCCAATACCCAGCCTCCAGAACTCTGTCCATTTGTCTGTTGATGGGGAGGTACGTTTTTGGGCTGACTCAGAGTTCACAAAAACCACTCTCTGGGCTTAAGCTGGAGGAAGTCATGCTGTCCCCCTCTGTGCAGGGTAAAGGCTAACTGTCACAGGGGAATCGGAAGCTCCAATTGCAACAGTGGAAGATAAACAGCCCCTGCCACCTCCCTGGATCCAAGTTTGGAAATGGGGTAGCTGAGCCTTCAGGGCAAGGCTGGGCATCCAGACTTTGCTTCCTGGCTCCCCCCTTTGCTAAGGAGTGACCAAGTACTGGCACTGAGCTGAGCTGGGTCCTGCTGGGGTTCCCCAAAGGACAATCCCTTATTCATTCAACCATCATCTCCTGAGTTTCTGCTGTGGGCCAGGCCTTGCTCCAGGAATCCAGGATTCAGAAATGGACAGGATTCAGAAATGTCCACCCAGGAGGGCTCATGGAAGCACTCGGTACACCACAGAACAGCATAACCAAAGAGGAAGGTGCTCAGTGCAGACAGACCGAGAGGAGGTGGGAGGGAAAGGAGGACTTGGGAAAGCGTATCAGGATGTTCAGACCTACTTCCCCGCACGGAGCTTGGAGTCATGCCAGGGAAGATGGTGTAACCGCAAATGACTGGTGTCCGGGGCACACACATGTGTATGCTGGGGAGGCACAGGGGCTTTGAAAGCGTGGGACACTGAGGATTAGTGGTACAGGTCAGACAGATACAGAAAGTAACACCAGTTCTCACTTCTTCAGCATTTACTATGCGCCAGGTATAAAAGCACCAAGTGTCCCATGGGCACATTTGCTATATCCTCTCTCTGCCCATGAAGCTATTACCGTCACATAGCTAGAAACTGGCAGAGGCAAGACTCTAGCTCCAGAGCGCAGTGCTGCACTGCAGAAGGAGGTCGGGTGCGTCTGGAGGAGGCAAAAGAGAAGAGAAAGGAGGCAGGATGGGTACTCTTTGAGGGCACTGTCCAGCCCACTCTGTAATGAGACTGCAGTATGTGTGTGTACACACGTATGTATGGGCGTGGATTGTGCACGTGCCTTACTTTACCAAGGTAGATCCCAGGTCCCAGAACCCCCGAAAAGCCAAGTAAAGAATTGGCCAGTAGCAGAGCAAGGAAGGGAAGCCCAAAGAGGAGAAAGTGTCTTATGTTACACAGCATACAAATAGCAGAGCTGGGACTAAAGGCAAGACCAGAGCCCAGGCCTCTTTGCTCCCCTCAGCTGCTTTTCCATGTCAGCACAGAGTGTGCCAGCTCCTGACAGGAAACCCACCGGTGCAGGATGAATCCCAGGGGTGAGTCAGGAACAAGTCAGTCCCGAGAGACACCAGCTGGGCCGGCAGGGCTGTGTGTTTGGCTTTTCTTCTTGAGAAACCACATGCCCCACACCACTCAGCCCCTGTTTACCTCTGGGTTTCCCCTCCAGGCTGTGGAGACCCAGGCTGGGAGGGGGAGAAGCCAGGACAGGGTAGGTCCTGCTGAGATTAAATGGGCCTCCCATCCACCAGCTGGCCTGTCCCACAGAGGGGCCCAGGCCAAGCAGCAGGACTGGTCTTTCCCTTCCTACCCCTCCCAGAGCAGAGCCAACTCTTGGCGGTTTGATGCTCCTGATCAAATCAGAACTTCCCCCCAAGCTTCCCCTGGGGAAGAGGAAGTGGGTATAACAGTTTGGAGCTGAGGCCAAGGCCAAGCCCAAACTAGGGTGCCAGCAGGACCCCATAGCTCTTAATCCGAAGCAGGTTAGGTCTGTTCTACTGCATGCCAGGAGGGGCTGTGTGGTCCTCAGGGGACCAGACTAGGTTACCAGGATGGAGGGCGATGGCTGGCTAACAAGAGAGCTTCCTCCTCTAAAGTCTAGGCCTCAAGACAGGGGCTGCCCCACACAGCAGAAACTTCGGAGGGGCCCAGGGAACCCAAATCTACCCTACAAGTATGTGGGGAACTTGTATCTAGACTGGCCATTCGTCACCAGAGAAGGCGTGTGGCTAACCTCTCACCCCTGCCTTTCCTGGGCTGGGTAGGGCAACCCGTAGATACTTCTTCCCACCACCCTGCTGGGAAACTCCCAGCCACTGGCTGGCTCAGGCTCCCACATTCAGCCACAGAGCCTCCTCTTCATAGGTGAACATCGCCTTCCCTGGGACCCCCACCTACCCAAGCCAGCCACCTTCCTGAGCCCTGCTGGGCACAGGGCTGAGAGGAAGATTGGTTGAGGAGTCAAAGAGAAAGTAAGACATGGCTGGAAGTCTCCTCCCCCACATCACTGCCCCTCCCCCACAAGGCCTTTTCTATCCCTACTTCTAGAGCGTCTTCCTTCACTCCCAAAGCTACTCGGATCCCTCCTTCCCATCACCACAGCCACTGATTCTTCATCCCTTGACTGCTGGGTCCTCCACCCCAGACACCTGGCACAAAATGCCTTTCCTATGGTGTCTCTCTGTTATGTCACTCCCTTGCTCAAAAACCTTCACTGGCTCCCATTTCTACAACTCAAGTCCACACATCTCATGTTGGCATTCAAAGCCCTCCATGAGCGGCATCCCCACTCCCATTCCTGCTTTGCAGCCACGGCAGTCCCGAACTTCAACCAGACTAGCCAACCTAGCAGTTTCCTGAGAGTTCTCCAAGCAGGTCGGGTTCCTTGCCTCTGCCCAGGCATTCTCCTTTGCCCAAGACACCATCTTTGCTCTTACTGCCAACACCTTCCAATCCTTAAGGCCCTGAGTTTCCCTCTAATCCTTCCTTTCATCTAGCCTGTATCAGAATCCCTGCTATCATTGTCTGAGCCCCTTCCTGAAAGCTAAGCAACCTGAGAGTGAGGGATCTGGGTTGTTGCTTGTCATTCACTGTAAGGGGCGGACACGGGCAAGCCTGTCTGCCAAGCCCTCTCTTTTCCCACTATACCAAGCTCTAATCTATGCCACTGAAATGCTTGGATGGGGGAGTCCGTGACCCCACATTGACGAGGCACAACCGGCACTGGGGTCCCAGGCAAAAAATGCTACTCAAGTCTCACCCTTCACCTTACACCTGGTTTCTCAAGTGTCTCCCCTCTTCTGAACACCCTCTCTCACCCTACACACACACATGCACACACCATATACACAGGCACATTTCTCCTCCACATGCATCCTTTAATCAGACTCTCTTGAATAGTACTTTTCGGCTGGCCCCACAGAGAGTGGCTTCTCTCCCCAGAAGATGCAACTGAGGTGTCCTTTGTGCCCACCCCTGCTCAGCAGACAATAGTTACACACACAGCCCTCACCTGCAACGCCAGGCTCAGCATGCAACAGAACAGCTGGATTCCAGCCACCAGGGCGGTACAGACCCTCGAAATCTCCTCTGCCCAGAATCCTGGGTGTGAGTGATCCTCTCCAGCAGGTACAAGATAGGGATGGGGGCTTCACTGTCAGCACCCAGGATGAGAGCAGAGCCCAGCCAGCTAGCATACCTCCATATCCACCTCCCAGCTTTGTCTTGTGTGTCTGTTTTGTCTATCTTATAATAAACCAGTTTTTGGGTTATTTAATTGAACACCCTCCAAGCAATATTAAAGAAAACTCAGCTACTTTTTAAACCAGGTGGCACACTCCCCAAACCTCAAACAAACTGAGGGATGTTGGTGGCAGGTGACAATTTTTGCCTCTCACAAGGTCAGGAGAGACTGCAGTCAGCTTCCACCCCTCTAAAGATAAACCAGGCTCATTCCCCTTCAGGAGCCAGCCAGTCCCTCATCTTCCCCTCCATGTCCCAGCAGCTGGCACCTCCCAGCAGTGAGGCCCCTGAGTACTGGCGCCTGGCTAGACACTGTATACACATTATTCTATTTAGTTTTCTATGCTACTGTTGGCTTCTGTCATTCCCATTTTACCGATGAGGAAACTGAAGTTTGAAGGGAGAGTGCAATCCAAATCATTTTGGTCCCAAGGTCTAAGCCCTTGACCATAGATGTAGGATCCCAGCTACAGTGGCCCAGCAACAGGTACCCACCATCGGGATCGGGAACCTTCTATTCATGAAAAGAATTCTGGGCATGTCTCAAAGGCCTCAGGACCTGACCTGCCTCTGGCCCAAGCTTTGGTGGGGTTTTCCCTTCTCTTCCCCACTCACCCCAATAAGAGAACTGTTCTTCCAGGGCCTCTATCCAGCTCACCTAGAAAAGCCCCGCTGAGTTTCCACCTTCAAGTCTCAGGGGGCCCCGCTCCATAGTTGAGCTCAAAGGCTCATAGGATCAGGCCTCATCCCAGGAAGCAATGGGACATTTTTTGTTGTTTGTTCGTTTGTTTGAGACAAGGGCCTCCTACGTAGCCCAGGCTGGCTTCAACTTGAGATCCTCCTGCCTCAGCCTCCCGAGTGCTGGGATTCTGCGCCACTACACCTGGCTCCCAGGGTGACCTTTAAAATAAGTAACCTCGCTCATCCCATTTTGCAAGAAGAGAAACCACACGAAGCACCTCTGCCCTGCCAGCCCTCACCTTCCGGGGTTTTGGTGAGAACGTGCAACAGGACCTTGGAGTTCACTTGGATCAACTTCCTCCTACTGGAACCCGAGCGGTCCGGAGCAGGGTGCGGGGACAAGCCCAGCGTCACGCAGCTGGTGCATGGCAGAGCCAGAGAGATAGAGGGTTCAAGCTCTTTCTGACCCAGCAGCTGCCCTGCTCTGTCACTTGTTGCGAGAAAGCAGCCCCAGCTGGCTGCAGGGGTGGGGGCGAAACTAACTTTGCTCTGGCTGTCCCGCCGGCCTTCCCCAGTCCCTTTCTCACCTGGTGGCTCTACTTTTTGCTCCGCGCTGCAAGCAAGTTGGCGTCGCCCGCTTGCGCCCGTCAGCGTCTGACTGCGCAGCACTTGGCTCAGTCTCTCTGCTCTCCCCCTCCCAGCGGCCGTGGGAGAATGCGACGGCCTCGGCCAGGCCACGCCCCTCGGGGGACACGCCCCCGGACACGCCCCCTCTGCGGAAGGTGTACCGGCGGCCCGCAGGACCAGGCCCCGCCCACCACGGCTTCCCTCCCCCCAACCCCGCTGGGTCAGCCTGGAGAGGAGGCCACGCCCCTTGCTCCGCCCTGCTATGGCCTCGCACAAGTATCCCAGCCCGCCCCGCGTCCAGATCGCTCAGAGGATGAGGTCCGCTTCCTTAGCACAGTACTTCGTGCCTTTCCAGTGCCTCCCCGAGGCACACCCACTCACAACCCTACCTAACGGCCCCGCCCCACCCCTTGGGCCACCCTCAGCCAAGTCCTCTCCCCGCCTCCTTTGGATGGCCATCCCATTGTCCCCGCCTCCTTTGCTTTCTCCTCCCCGCCCACCCCTGACCATCCTAGAATGAGGCCACGCCCCCCAGACGCGCCCCTCCCTGCGGGTTCTCTGAGCCAAACTAATCCTGTTCGCCCTGGCAACACCAATTTAGGGCTTCAGGCCTGGAGCCCCCACGCTGGCATTCCAGGGCGGGTGTATTCGGGTGCAACCCGGGAACTGCTACAGCGTGGGAGCGGTTCGCGTTCCAAGCTCGGGCCTCTGTCAGAAGGCGGCCTAGGCAAGGCGCTTTCCGAAAATTCAGCTAACCATTGACTGAACTCTTGTCCAGCGCCAGGCTGTAAGCCAAGAGCTGTGAAAGTATTGACCCTTGAATTCCCACCACTCATGGGGTACTCACTTTGCGCCCATTTTACTGATGTGCAACCTAAGGCTTAGAGAAGTCATGGGCTCGGGAGTCTCGCGCTGGAGGCGGTGATGAATGGGATCCAGTCCCAGGCCCTGAATCACAGGCTTGATGCTGTTCCAGCTTGCCTGGACTGGCCCCTGAAGAAGTGGCCCAGACCAGCCAGGCTGCCTGAGGTGAGGGAGGAGGCTGACGAAGGCTTAACCGGAGGGACTACAGGTCTGAGCCCTCCCAGGGGCCTCCTCCCTTCAGAAGAAGCGGTCCAGAAATAAGATGGGCTGCTAGAGCTCTCCAGGTGGCTGTCGTGCCCCACCCTGCTTGCCAGCCCTCTGCACCCCAGACTATGAGGCCAGCCTGGGGCAGGTTACCAATGACCAGGGTCCTTAACCTGGGCAGCTGACATAGCTCTTTCACTCCCATTATCTCACTGGCATCTCACAACAGCTCCATTGTGGAGAGGGTATGACTACGCCTGCTTCGCATGGGTGGAAGAGGGCAGGAATCTGGATCCCAGCCCAGCACAGTGACTCTCAAAGCTGATTGGTCCTGGACCAGCAGCAGCATCATTACCAGAGAATTTGTTAGGAGTGTGCATTTGGGGGCCCCATCCCAGACCTACTGAATGAGACACTCTGGAGCAATTTGTGTTGACAGGCTTCCAGAGAATTTTGAATCATACTCAAGTTTGAGAACCACTGCTGAACACACGTTGAAGGCATTGGAATGGTGCCTTCCTGGTAGCTTTGTAACCCAGGACAAAGCAGGGCACCTAACCTCTCCAGAAGGAGCCCTTAAGAGGGGAGTAATACTGATGTTAATACCAAGGCAGAGGCGGCTGTTGGAAATTAAATGTGCTAGTGTTCTTGAAGTGTTTGGACCACTGCTTGGACTTCGTGCATGCACGATTAATGTTCTCTTTCCAATAAAAAGTCTCTTTTATAGAATTTCCACACCAAGTTGGCAGTGTCTCACTGGGTTGTCCTCACAGGGGAACACCATCTATCCTGCAAGATGCCAAGGTCCTAGCAAGATCTTAGGTGATGCCGATGCTGTTGGTTCAGGACACACCTTGAGAACCACTGTGCTAGTTCATCTTGGCCGGGTTCCAGCTCCCTGTCCTACCCAATCTTTGCACACTGGGTGTAAGGTACACTCCTCTCCCACCTGCCCCAGCCCCCTCTCCCCAAGCTGGGGTTTTTGTGATGGTGACTTGTAGTTGCCAAAACAGCTGGATCCCATCAACTCTCCCTCCCCTAGGCAGACGTCCCCTCCCATTAGGCCCATCTGCTACCCCTTCCTGTCTCTGCCACCCCAGATTAGAGATGCAGACAGCTGGGGTAACAGGGAGGTCAGTCTACAGGCAGCTTCGGGAATCTCAACACACACGAACTCCTTCTTCCACAGCCCCCCAGAAGAGGTTCTCCCTGAAGGAGCTCACACCTGGAGCACTGGTCTGGTTATGTGGACCTACTCTAACACAGGGAGCCCAAGGTAAGAGGGGAAATCGAGGCCCACATGTCCTATATCTGACACTCAACAGACTGTACAACAAAATGTCTATCCTCCTACCTTCACCCATATTTCTTTTTTTTTTTTAAAGTGGGACACGGGGAGGGTGTGGTTTTGAAATCAGGGCTTCACATTTGCAAAGCAAATTCGCTATGTTTTGAGCCACACCTCCAGTCCATTTTGCTCTGGTTATTTTGGAGATGGGGTCTCATGAACTATTTTCTTGGGCTGGCCTGGAACCCTGATCCTCCCAATCTCAGCCTCCCAAGTAGCTAGGATTACAGGAATAAACCACTGGTGCCTGACTGACAGATAATCTTTATAATCATCAAAGACCATGCTTCCTGGGCACCAATGGCTCATACCTGTAATCCTAGCTACTCGGGAGGCAGAGATCAAGAAGATTGTGGTTTAAAGCCAGTCTGGGCAAATAGTTGTGAGATCCTGTTTTGAAAATACCCAATACAAAAAATGGGCTGGCGGAGTGTTAGAGCATCTGCCTAGCAAATGTGAGGCTCTGAGTTCAAACCTAGTGCCAAAAAAAAAAAAAAAAAGAGAGAACAGACCATGCTCACATTTAGAATTCCTGGGCTCTGCAATTCTGTGCAATTCTGTAGGAGAGGTCAGCCTGACCCCAGCCTGCAGCCCACCCACCCCACTTTTCTTCCTATCTCTACCCTGTGTTCCAAGTGACCACCCCAGCACTCAGGCCCACACTCTGTCCATACACTCTGCCTATAGCCAGTGCTCGGCTCACTGGCCTGGTCCCTCCAGGAGGCACACACCAGGGATAGAGTTGCTCCTCTGGAAGATGGGCCTGGACAGGGAACTTGTGTCGGCCTTGAAACTGGGTTTGGACCACGTAGGCAAGGATTTCTAGGTGTTTCAATACCCGAAGCATGATAAAGATGGAGTGGATACAGGTGCCCCTCGCATGTAGGGCTATAAGTGACACTGCCACTTGGCCTCATCTTCCCAGAACCTGCCACAGTGACTGGAACCTTAAGGGACAGTGGCTGAGTAGATGTACATCTGAGCCTCCATCTCTTCTTTTCCAGAAGCCAGCTTTTGTCCTGACTTACCTGGGGCATTTTTCCAGGTGGAGTGCAGAGACAATTCCAGTGTGAAATTTTTCAGTCCACGCCAGACACAAAACCAGGAGCTCTAGAGAAGAGGAAGGAGGTGGAAAAGACCACTCTAGAAAGCCTGACAGAACATATCACATGGCTGACTGGGGGATGGGCAAGTGGTGGGATGACAAGACTTCAAAGGGTCATGGCCGTGGGGCTCCCAGACTCTCAGAAGAGCCCCCCACCACAAAGGTGGCAGAGGAACAGTGTAGCAAGAGACCTGAAGGTCCTGAGTGACAGCTTCTTACCGGTACCTGGACCTAGCAAATGCCCCAAGACTTTTGCACAACTCAGTAAGAGAAGAAGGGTGGAATATTTGTTGCTAATGTATTAGTCCATTTTGTATTACTACAACAAAATACCCAAAGCTGAGTAAGTTTATAAAAAAAAGAGGATTCACTTTAGTTCATGGTTCTGGAGGTCCAAGATCAAGGGTTTTCTGCCTGGCAGATCCTAAGACAGTGCAGGGCATCCCAGGGCAAGACAGACAACATGCGTGGGTGTCTCCTTCTGCTCTTCCCCTCATCTTTTTTTGTTTTTGTGGCAACACTGGGGTTTGAACTTGCTAGGCAGTGCCACTTGAGCCACTCCACCAGCCCTTCCTCATCTTTTACAGCCCCCGTACTGAATCACGGGGTCTCCATCTTGATGATCTTTTCATTCTCATCACCTCCCAGAGGCCCCAGCTCTAAACACTGCACCCTCTCAAAATGTCACAATGGGGGTTAAATTTCAACACACAAAAACTTAGAGGACACTTGAACCTATCCACACTGTAGCAACTGAATTACAACCCACCCAATCGTTTGGTCCGTTTAGGGTGGTCTCTGAGGTGAGAGCTTATCTGCTTTTGCACATGTCAGCTGGCACCCGTGGGCTCAGAGGGTAAGCGTCAGCCAAGGGCTCAGCTCGTGCTGCCAGGCAGGTGGCACTTCCCCCACGAGGCCTCCTCAGGGTAGCTTGGGCTTCCTCGCAGCCAGGCTGCTGGGTTTCAGAAAAACCAAAGCTTGTGGCATCTTGTGGCTTAGCATTAAAAGCCAGGTAGTGTCCTTGCCTTCACATTCTATTCTGGAAGTCGCGAAGGCTCAAGTGCTTCAGGACACGTCTGGTCTCCTTCTTGATGGGGGCATGGCAGAGTTCTAGAATGGGATGGAAATACTGTGGGAAAATACAGCCCCCCTCCGTGAGTCCTCAGGATAGGCAGAGTAGAATTTCCATGGATGAGAGCTGGGAGTCCAAATTAAGATGATTTAAAGTAAAAAAAATATATATATATATATATATATATATATATATTTCTTCAAGAATTCTCAGACTAGTTAGCACCTCCCTCCCAGCTGGCACTGCTTCCTTGCACTAATAGATTGACTGGTACTCACTCAGGCTTCCTGGCAATGGTCCATTGAGGTACACAATGCTGTGACACCCAGGTCAATGGAGGCCCTGAC